TCTGAGAATAGGTGTTGGCATTTGCTTGTGTTACCTGTCAACTAAAGAGTCCCTCATTTCTGTGGTAATATTACTGGGCTGTGCATCTCCAATCTTGAACACACTCTCAATGACCGACAGTTCTGTTGCAGTGGTATCCAATCCACAAAAAGCTAGCCAATCGTTGGCCACTACGCCAGCAGCTATGACATCACTTCCTCTGTTTACTGTGCCTGCCTGAAGTGACAAACAAAATTCTACCATTACAGATTTGGGGAAAAAACATGTTAAGTATATGCAATTCTTTCAATATGAAGCAAAATGTCTCATTAAGCCTTGGCAAAATTCCTTAGTCACTGCCTGTTAAGAAATTATGTTAAAGACAGATTGGAGGAGACAAGACTGCAGGCACTTGGGTACCCATCAGATCATCTACAGCTGATAGAGGAGGAAGGGGAAAGGTTTGGAAATTTCTCCAGATTGAGACAATAGTCTATACCTACCACTAGAGGCACCTGCAACAGTGAAGACAGCTCATCTTGGTCTTCCACTGTAGTTTTGGGGTGAACCTAGAAATTATGTACGTGAAAAGATTAGAGTTTTGTTCGAATTTCTTTATTTTCTCTTTCTTCATATTTTCAAAGATCTTACCAAACCTCCACAAAAACAAAAATGCATTACATACTGCACATTGTATATATATCCATTTTCAAACTTTCATCACATAAATTGGCTAGTATAAAAGGTTTATATGATTTATCACCTCCCAAAATATTTAATAAAAGTGAAGTTTTCAGTTCTTCTTTATATCACTATAATAGTCTCATTCGTACTGACACCTTAGAGATGACCAATTATCAAACCATAGGAATAGCAGCAGTTTCATAATTTATCCATAGTTCACGAGGTTTTACTTTGTATTCTTTTTTTTTAAATCTACCTGGATTGATGAAATTAATTTTTTTCTCTTACTCACCAGCCCCCCTTGGTTAGTTATGGTGCAATAGCTGCCAACAAGTACATTGTCTGCCACTGTCTGACGGAATACTTCAACTTTAAGGACGTCTTCAAGAATCTGCTCTGTTTCCTGGAATAGTGAAGAGAAGATGTACATTATAAACTTATTTAAATTAGTGATAAAGTGGAAAAATGTGTAGTATGCATGGAATATTCACTCTCCAAGAAAATATGAAAATACTTTCACTATATCTTATAAGGCTATGCTAACATATTTAACAGTGACTTATCCATTCAGTAATTTAGGCCACGAACTCAAATTACTACTGAAATTCCTACAGTGAACCTAGAATTTCACCCCCCTCCCCTATACTGTCTTAGCCTTTCTCTTTCTCTCTCTTTCTCAGAAACTCTCTCTCTCACACACGCACACACACACACACACACACGCACACAGGCTCTTTCTCTCTCTCTCACACACACACACACACACACACACACACACACACACACACACACACACTGTTATCTACCTTGTCTAGATCTGGGTGTACCAGAGCCACATAGTCATTACAAGCAATGACATTCCCCAGTGCTGACAGCCTCTCCTCCACACGCTGGATCTTCACAGAGTCTGGGAGAGCATTACGGATGTGCTGTAACTCCTGATCTGTTGTAGTATTGGGGACCAAGAGACCATGTCTGTTACCTGAGGAGAAAAGAAAGAGAAGGAAACATATTATTTCCATATTATATACATTGTACTCCAGTATGGACTGTGATGATTGAAAAAGACATATTCACTGAATTCACAAAGATGCAATGGCCATCACTATCCTACGGTTACATGTGCATGTGCTTTCTTTTTTTCTTTACACAACAAAACACTTTTTTAAGAGCTGCATTTTTAATTATTGTTTTAAAGATTCCACTACTGTAACAGTGACACGATCTTACCAACTGTCAAGCGGCCAATAATTCGACATCCTGCTATAGATGTGTGCACAACTGGAATTGTGTCAGACAGCTCACCCTCAAAAACACTGAAAACAGACAATGAAGATAATAGAGATAACGTAGTACAAAAGTTGAGACAGCTATCTCAGCGCGAGGCCTTACCATGCTCGATACTTAGTTACCAGTGGGAAAGGAAAGATGGTGTGTGAGCGGAGAGAGAGAGAGAGAGAGAAAGAGAGAGAGAAGTTAAATTTCGCATAATCAAACCACCAAAACCATTCAGCAAACAAAGTCACAAGTACCTGTAAAAATTTTCAGCACCACCGATTGCTACCAAACAGTAGGCATTTGTAAGTTTTGAGAACACACCGATCTCGTTATTTCCTTCAAACTGCACGCGAACGGCCATCGGAATGTGATTCTTTTCCTCAGTTACCCTTTTATTATACTACTATCCGAAAGCGATTGCCAACTTCCGCAGAAATTTCACTTTAAATGATGTACAAGTTTCACACACGAGGATTGCATCCGAGAGAGCAATACTTGCTTGTGCAAAACGTCATTTGTTTAGCGGTGATGTCATCAGTTTTGGAGTATAGTAGAATGGAGACTAGACGCATGGTTTTAGGATTGTATAAGCAATTATTGCGTGAAAGTGCGAAATTCCCAGCTTACAATTACAGGTACAATTGTGGCAGTGAATTAAACTTTTGTTCTTTGTATTTCTTGCTTTAAATCCCGTCGATAATTGGCCTGGTGTCGTTGTTCCATGACTTTTTCGATGGCAATGTGTGGGACAGGGTGGAGTGGAGGGGGGGGGGGGGCAGGTGTGCTTTCACCTTATAAATAGAATTAAATGTAATGTTATTTTTTTTCCCTAATATGGTATGCTTTGGGGCTTATAGAAAGCCAAGTCTTAATGAACACTTCAGAAGGAAAAATCTTGAATATCAACACCAGGTACTTTTATGTAAGCCCTAGATAAGGTCTGAGTATTAGTAAGATCAAGCAGTTTTGTTTGATATTTAACATATGACTTTAGTCATATGCAGACACAAACAATTGCAGTATATCTTTAATAAGAAAAACTACTTTAATTCTAGGCTGTATGCACTGAGGAGGACCAAGGATGCTTTCAAAGACAATAAGATGGAGACAAACCCAGAAAAAATACAGGAACTTATTGGGAAAGCTCAGAAAAATTTAGAAATAATTAAAAGACAGGTATATCAGTACAAGCCTGCGAACCTGGTTCTCTAATGTCTATGGTTAGAATTTCACCTCATGCCCATTGAGTAGAACAAGGACATAAAGTGGATTCCACATAACCTGGACATTTTCGGACAAGGAAATTTGCTCAAGTCTGCAAAGATTTACGTTTGGCTGAGTTAATATTGATTTTGGGGGAAAATGCACTCCACAAGAGTTTTTCATAATAAACAATAATTACAGAGTTATGTGGAGTCCACTGTAGTAATAATGATCTGTTGGTTGAGGGGGGGAGTGAAGGGGATTCATTTTGCAAAATAATTGGAGAAGCTTCTTTCCAGGGATCATATAATGCAGGGGTGGATTGAGGCCGTCTTCTGGGTCTTCCGGAAGACGGTCAGATTTTCAAGTTTACATTGATGGGTTTACATCTAATTATTTCTGTCAGAAGATGGTCAAAAATGTAGGATGGATCAACAAACATAATTTGGAAGACTGTCAGAAAATATATCTGGATCCGCCCCTGTAATGATGATAAAGTCCATTCCATACCTCAACCATTTTATCAAAATGGACCACACTGAAGTTAAAATAATTGGATGGTGGGGGGAGGGGGCTGGGTACCACAAGTACATCTGTAGTATATGTCATTGATAAAATTAATTCAAAACGTTGCAATTATGTGGTATTTCTTTTTTTTTTGGAGAGAAAACTATGGACATCTAATTAGCGTTATAACTTGCTTTGGAATAGAGGCAAAAGTGTGTGTTAGTGCAATGACCTAGATATAGGTTAGTGATCAGTTTAGATAATGAGGTTATGTAAAATAGAGGTTACGTAAAACTGCACTTAGAGTCCCAGCCTTGTCACATTCACTGTCACATCCTCTGTCACACCTACTACAATCTGAAACAAGGTACTGAAACATTCTATGTATGTACAGTCATTTTGAGACTGAAGTTGTTTTTAAATTGTATATATGGAACAAAAATTTCCACTTTCTAAATAGTTTACATCTTTAACTTTTTCAAAGTATTGGAAGAATAGGACAGAATAAGTGTGTATATATAAACTTATCAAGGTTATCCAGGCAAATGTTGATGCAGTAATTTGAAAATGAAGGGGCCCAAAATTGTCAGCTGCTAAAGTTTGTGAAGTAAACATGACAATTAATCTAATGTTATGAATATTGGGTTAATTTAATGTATCTGAGACAGGAAATTAATGTTGTGCCACGTATCAGAGTGGCACCAACAGGATAACTGACTGAAATGTCAGACTGACTTCAGACCAAAAATGATGTTGTAATTTTTTTTTTTTTTTGCACCAGCTGTAATGTAAAACCAGATGCCATGTGAGATATCACAGACTGTGCTATATATATTTTTGAAAAAAAAAAAAAAAAAAAACTAGCCAACTCTTTTAAATGAAAATTAGATTTGTAAAGTCAAGCTCCATATTCAAGTGTCAAATATGATTTTTTTAACCTATTTGAATGTTTTTTTAATTACTAGTAATCCAATGCCATTTTTTCTTTAAATCCACAAGTCAGAGATTAAATATGGCATCAGTTGTATTGCCAGTTCAGGTTATATCAGCGACACTGACACTGCTGAGTGATAGTGCCAAATAAAGTGACAGCAACACTGACATTTACAAGTAGAGTACGTGGTAGTGACATTGACAGTGCTGGGTGGAATGACAACAACACTGACAGTGTCAAGTAGATTGACAGTGACACTGACAATGCTGAGTAGAGTGACAGTGACATAGTGCCTAGTAGAGTGACAGCAACACCGACAATGTCAAGTAGAATGACATCGACACTGACAATGGTAAGTAGAGTGAAGGTGACACAGATAGTGTCAAGTAGAGTGACACTGAAATTGCTGAGTAGAGTGACAGCACACCTACAATGTGGAGTAGATTGGCAGTGACACCAACAGTTTCTAATGGAGTGGCAGAGACACTGTCAGCACCAAGTAGAGTGACATTGACACTGTCAGCATCGAGTAAAGTGACAGAGACCGTCAGCATCAAGAGTGAGATTGAAAATGACAGTGCCAACTGGAGTGACAGTGACACCAACAGTGCCAAGTAGGATGACAGTGACACTGATAGTGTCTAATTGAGTGACAGTCACACGGACAGTGCCAAATATAGTGACAGTGAGACAAAGTTGAGTTTTGTTACAATAAATCTCTAATAAGCAACCTTGATCGCCATCTTTCCATACTCCTCTAACATAGATCCTGTACTATTATTAGTCCAACTGCCTAGGGTACCATTAAGAAATGATAACAACCCTTCAAGAGTGAGTTGATGGGAGAGGCACTTTTTTATCCAGGCCCTGAATATCTCCATGTAGGTTTGTCTGTCTTGAACTATTTTCTAATCACAGTTTCAGAAACAAAAATTAGAACTAATTGGACGTTACTCATACACAAGGCTTTTAGCTGTGCATCTTCAGAGAGATGAGGGTAGTTTTTTTTCTAGAGTTTAATTTTTGTGGTAATTAGAGGCAAAACAATATGCTTGCTGATGAAAATTTCAATGAATTATTGAATAATTAATATACGTGTATATGTCTATGATAGGCATTACTGTAGGCATGTTGCCAACCAGACAGCGTTTATTTCAAGGCCAGGCCGAGATGGAAAATTGGTGTCAAGGTTTCAAGGCACTACTTTTTAATAGACATCATGTGATAGTACATCATGATGCGGGTGATTTTTTCTGTATGCTTTATCTAATACTAGTATGATATGTTGAGCTCTGTACATGATGAAGGTCACAGTGACCTAAGACAGAGTAACCCATTGCGTCATTTGTCAGTTGAAGTAGCTGAATTAAACATGTTTATTGAATATATATCTGCTTTTAAGGCATCTGGTTCCACACCCTAATACCTATTGCCCAAGCTAAATTGTCATTTCTTCAGCTTAGTCTTTTAAAAATTTCATTACACTGTTAGGAAGTGAATTTTTGAAAACTTATTTAAGACAAAGTGTTCACTCTTTTCCATTAATTTAACTTGCAAAACTGAATTTATATACTTCCCAACAAGTGTTAAAGTGAGTTCCATTTGTGTTAGGACGAAAAAAAAAAATTTAAAGTAAACAAAATATACTAGTAAGTAAATCTGGATTAATCTCAATGTTTTAATGATATAACCTTGACTTGTGTGCATTCAAAGACAAGCAAAGAACGGACATGAATTTATACTATTAAGAAGGTATACATGGTACACAAAAATGCTGAAAACGTAAGTTTATCACTTGAATTTGACCTTGGCATCCTTTAACAAAAAAACTCCATTGTAACATCTTTCTCTAATTACCCAGGGTAGATATACTTTGTTGATGTTACATTATGTACACAATTTATGTTTATTCATTATCTAGGATTGTTATTGTACATGTACCAGGTAGCGTCTCATCCTTTCTCTGTTGAACCTTTTCGTTGGACAATCTGGCACATGCACATGGTTCACCTCGCAATCATTTGTTTTTTATTGGCTTGTTTATTTTCCCTCCACATCTGTTATTGCATCACATTTACATACAGACTAGACTGAGGTTGCTGGCATAATCTTTGCACCCAGTCTGGAAACTTATAACCCCCTGTTCTTTCTCTCTCCATCTTTCTCTCGATGCTAAATTTAAATTGTGTTTTTCATCAGCACTAGGTCAACCCTCTCGTAAGAAAACAAGTAAAGCAGAAGTTCACAAAGCAGTGCTGTGTGCTGAATTTGTTAGTCACTTTGAATACATTTAAGACTGAATGCACCATGGTTTTACTGAAAAGAGAGACACTTTATCAGAACAGTGCCAACATTGAGCTTAGGTACATGTATACAGTTGCTTACTATTACTTTCTCCATGTTTGATCCAAAATTCCAAAATATTAAGAAGGGCTGGAAGGATTACATCTTCCACCCCCTCTCCCACTCACACACACATGCCCACTCACACACACACACCACTCTCTCTCACACACACACACACACACACACACACACACACACACACACGTGCATTAGCGCATTCTTCCCTCCTTCTGCAACCCCCCTCTCTCCGCCCTGAGTATATAACATATGATTGAAGTACATGATGACATGTTTCCAGAGGCCTTAGCTCCCCTCCACCCCTCCCCCCTTTTTTTTTTTGGGGGGGGGAGGGGGCAAAATGAACAAATTCATATTTTGCAAAAGAATACTTAAACATACAGGTACTTTCAGAACCACCTCTACCTTGGTTTGAGTTCTTTGGTTCTGCACTTTAAAAGTGCACTAATACATTTAAAATTAATAGAAGAATGTGTAAATGCTAAGAGTACACATTAGTGGTTGATTTGCGAAATGATCTACTTATAGGAAGGGTAACTTGTACTTTTAATGGCTAGTTTCATATCATACTTAGCTATGAACTGATTCAACCACAAGGAATCTAAAACATGGTATTATATATATATATATATATATATATATATATATATATATATATATATATATATGCATGCTAGGTGCTAATAATTTCTTGATACTGGTACCCGCCAACCGGTTTGGTAGGTCCTAGCTTGATACAATTATTTTAAGCTTCATCGTAATATTTGTATCATTACAGGTTACCATTGAAAGACTGTACACAGATACGAAACTTGTGATAGAAAAGCCGAAACCTTCCAGTCATGGTTCTCAGAGCTGACAGTGCCATCTAGTGGTGACCTTTGACATGTACTTGTGGCCAGTATGATTGTACAGCAGAGCAGCGACGGCAACAGTTGGGGGGGGGATGACATCTTCCAGAATGTGACTGAAATACTCCCAAAAACTGATAAGAAATCTTTGAAAATAATTTATCAGACAGAGGAGTCTGTACAAACTCTACAGGAAGGTGTATAAATATCTCGCAGCTATTTAATGGTCTCAGTGCTTTTGAGACCTTGTAAAAAATAGTTCTTTTNCCCCTTAGCAAGCAATTTCAAAAGGGGAGGAGGGGTCTTTTATCGAAGGAGTGGACCTTTTTTGTGTTTGAGAATTTAGTGTTAAAAGCTTCATAAACTTCAAAATTTATGTAAAAAACTAAACAAAATTAAGGTATGAAATCATGCTGATATTGGAAGCTACAGCTTGTGTATTAATTTAAAGTCAGAAACAGAAGAAATTTAAAACAAACAAGTGTTCAGCTTATCCAGTTTTGTCATAACATTAGAATTTATTTTGAGCTCCACATAACACAGGCTTACATGACCAGGGGGAAAATCAATTTATAACAGTGTGTCATGTTTCTGTTTCTTCATTTAATCTTAAAGATGAATTGGTTTGTGTGTGTGCTAGAAGGAGATGGAATTTATACATCCTGTCATGCTACGTTGTCTTTAAATAATCTCAATGATGAATGATGTGTGTGTGTTAGGGTGTGTGTGTGTGTGTGCGCGTAAGAGAGAGGTGGAGGTTATACATCACTTTTTGGTCAGCCTTATTTGATAGTTTTGAGGCAAGAAAATTTGCATATAAGTTTTTTTTGCTCTATTTTGGATTGCTTGAAAATTTTTTATGAATTATAGGAATTAATTAGTTCATTTTCTTTTAGTTTGGTGTGTTATTTTCTATTTCAAGGTGATATTTTACTGTCTGCAGTCAGTTTTGCATCCCCTCCCCTCTGCTGTATTTTAGTGCTTTTTTCATTTGAATAAATGATGAATAAATTCATAAAATACAGGTCAAGTTCAAAAATCAGCATGATCGATACATTTTTTTCAAAAGTTATGCTTTTTTTTTCAGCAAATAATACAAATTCTCAATCTACAGTGTCGTGCAAGTGCATCAGCAGTGGCCAAGTTTATACAGTCAGTTATGCCTAAGTAGCAAATGCATATTGTACAAAATACTATATCCAGTATTATATATTACATTGTGTCTTAATATTGTCAGCTATATGTATGAAGTAGTTAGCTTATATGTATTTTGGTAATGGAATGATCTAAAGTAGTTATACTTACTTAAGCGTATGCGCACAATTTATGTTAAACTGTAGTTTAGAGAGCTTGTAAAATGTAACTGTACACATTTTAATGCTCAATAAATTATTATTATTATTATTATTATTATTATTATTTGTAACACTGCTAACACTTCTTTAAAAAAACAGGCATTTTGTCTTGAAACTCACAGGATAAGACTACTAATCAGCTTTATTGAACCATTTTTACAAAAGTTAGGCTCTTGTTTTACATTTTTTTCAGTATATTTTATCTACCATTAAACAGATAACATGTATACTTATAGGACTCGTATACAGATCATGTTCCAAAATAAGCTTGATCATTTCAGTTTTAAGAGAAGTAATGTGTTTTTGTATATATGTGATTTTCATGAGATTCAATTCGTAAGTATGTGAACAGTCTCATTATTGAACTAAATTAGATACGTAAAAGTGTTCTTTTCACATTTTCTGCATCTTAACAATACTGTTGGTTGATTATGTAAAAATGATTGTAAACCTGTTATCCTGTATTGTATAATAAAGTGTCAGAAATGAACTCATAACATTGAAGTTTGTCAGATTCAATCATTCACTATGTTCTGAATTAATCTAAGAATGGAGCAAATTGAACATGTAAAATTGATCTATTGATATTGTCCCATCTCAACAATTTTCTCAGTTGATCATATAAAAAGGACAGTAAATTGATTATTTTGTTTTATGTAAAAAAAGTATTGAAAATATAAATAAACTCATTTCAGTATAGATAACTCTTGTGCACTGGTACATTTTGGCGTTTTCGAGGTGTGACTTTGAAGTTCCATTGGCCTGAAGATCTTTGCTAGTAACATTTTCTAAATATCCATGTTACCTGCAGTGCATAATTAAATAGGTGGTGATTTTTCTGTTAAGCATTATGTAATATTGCATCAAAATTGAAGAAAACCTATTTTGGGCACTGCTGCCATAGTGACCATTTGAGGAAAACCATGTCACTAACTCTTTTCAAACTTACAAGAAAGAAACAAAGGACTAAAATACATGTACAGCTTCAGTTGAAAAACCATTCTGATTGGTTAATTTTTCTGGAATTTATACAGTTTTTTTTGTGAAAATTTCATTTTTCACACATTGGCACTTTTCACTTACCAGTATTGCAGTAATGATACAGTGGGTTAAAACTTTATACACTGACTTTACAAAATAATGACCATCTTTCGTAGTTCTTTAGAGTAAAAAGGGGTGTACAGCATGGAGACCCCTTGTCCCCATATCTTTTTCTTTGTTTAGAAATTTTCTTGGCCACAATTAGACCCTGATGTTAATCGAATCAATATAAACAATACGGAGTTTCTTATTACGTCTTATGCAGATGATACAACTCTTATACTGGGGGATGATGAGTTCTCCTTGAACAGGGTCCTCTACTTAATGGCTGCATTCTCTGAGTGCTCAGGCCTCAGAGCCAGTTTCAAAAAAAAAAACAGAAGCAATATGGATTGAGGCCAAAAGAGGATGTTATAAAAAAAATCAAAACTGAAAAAGAAATAAAATTGAATCATGCAGGTGCATTTTAGTTGCTTGGTATAAAATATGAATTGAAAATAATTAACCATTGTGAAATTTTAATTAAACTTAAAATTTTATAGAAAAAAAATTGCAAAAATAAAAAAATATCCTGGAAGTATGGTCCTTGAGAAATCTTTCAATAAAAGGAAAGGTAACAGTGGTGAAAACCGTAATATTTCCTATTTTGGTGGATATACTAACTGCCCTGCCAAACCCCCAGACCATATCTTTAAAACTATGGATACAATAATATTTAACTTTATCTGGAATGGGGAAAAAGACAAAATAAAACGAGCAACAATAGTGTCTGATTACGAAAATGGAGGGCTTAAGGTACCACAAATAAAACTTTTTACTGAGGCACTAAAACTTTCATGGCTAAAAAGACTTTTGGATGAAGAAAGTAAGTGAAAAGTGCTTTTTCTCAGTAAACAGTCAGAAATCGGGGGTCATAAAATATGGACCTTGACAAAAGGTGATTAAAAACACTAGTACAACAAGCAACTAATAACCCCTTGATTCTTTGAGTGAAATTCAGGAGAGCCCCAGTATAACCCCAGAAGAAATCCTATCACAACCATTATGGAAAAAAATAAAGAATTAAAATAAATGAAAAAACTTTTTGGAATACTTGGGTATTCAAAAGAGCACACCATCTGAATGGCATAAAACTATCTCTACTCATGGAAGAAAATTACACATTGTATCCCACGAAATAATTGACTTGATTTAAAAAGTTACCAAACCATCCAGGTATTTCTACAGAAAATTCCTCCAAGGCCACACTGTATCACCAAACAAAAGTATAGGTAAATGGCATGAGAATATGAAAAAGTCCTTAAATAATGAGGATTGGCAACTAATATTTAGATCCTTCCAAGAAACAGATGACATGAAACTGCAGATGCTTCAATTTAGAATAAATCACAGAATATTCAGTACCAATGTTTATCTTATGAACATTTTTACCTCCGCCAAGGAGGTTATGTTTTCACCCCTGTTTGTTTGTCTGTCTGTTTGTCTGTCATCAACATAACTCAAAAAGTTATGGACCGATTTTGATGAAATTTTCAGGAACTGTCAAAAGTGGGCCAAGAAACAGATTAGTTTTTGGTGGTGATCCGGATCAATAATCAATCAATAATAAAAAAAACAAGTTATGGACCAATTTTGATTAAATTTTCGGGAATTGTCAGAAGTGGGCCAAGGAACAGATAATTAATTTTTGGTGGTCATCCAGATCAATATTCAATCAATAATCAATAAGCAAAAATATTGAAAGGGGTGAAACGGCATTGGATGGAGACTTTGCTGCCTTGGTGGAGGTCTGCGCTCTCTGAGTGCTTTTCTAGTTTAAAAAGAATCAGAACAGTTCGAATTTTGCAATGCTGCTAGGGAAACTATTCTTCATGTTTTCTGGGATTGCTCACATGTACAGAATGTTTGGACGTGTGTCATTTGTTCCGTAAAAGATAATTTAGGTGTGGTCATTGAGAGATCTTAGATTTTTATACTTGGGCTTGTGCAAGCCTGTGATATAAAAGTTTTTATTTACTTATCTTAATAATTAAGATATATGTTAGTATATGTAGAACGAAAAGAAATCCCAACATGGGAAAGGAACTAAACAATATGTTAAATACTACAGAAATATTTGTTTAAATTCTTTGTATATGTAGACCGACAAAAAACTACAACATGTTAAAAGAAAATGGGAAAATATTGATTGCATATTACAACTTAATTGACAAGCAACTAGCTAAGGATATACCTCTTAGTATTTCAATTGTGAGGTTAGCAACATGGATTGTCAATCTCTATTTCTACCCTTTTATACAATACTGTAACTGTACAACCTTTTTATACTGAGAGAGAGAGAGAGAGTACAAGTATGTAAGTGTATGATTGTTTGTTTTTGTGTGTGATTCATAGGCAATAACTGTAAGATTGAATATTTATTTGCTACTGAATAAAAAAAAATCACATATTGGCTTGGAACCTCCATGGGTTTGAAGACCTTTGCTAGCCACATTTTCTGAACATCTAGATACTTATATTTTATTATTATAAATTGATAAGCATTATGCTGTTAAGCATTATGTAATAATCCATCAGAATTGAAGAAAACCTTATTTTGGACACTGACCTATGATGACCATTTAGGGAAAACCATGTTACTTATGACTGGGTTCCCATGCCTAGATTGATCCATCTGGATCTCCCTAGGGAGTCTCAGTAAATTGCTATCGACTTAACGGGTAAAAAGATAACTACCCCCTAACAGCTCTATTGGATTATCATTTTTTAATTAAATTTCTGCACTTTCTATTCTTCTCAGTCTAGCATTTTCAAAGTGTGAACTTGGACTTCAAGGGTCTGAAGCTTTATGTGATGTTGACTTT